GAAAGAGGACTCCATGGGACAAAGCCCCAAAAATATCTTGAAGAGCAACAAAATAAAAGAAAAGATGAAAAAAAAAAAACCAGATAAAACTTCCCCAAGATAGGGAAGAGAAGCCCTAGAATCACCCGAGGAACACCAAAGAGAAACCCTAGTTTTGCTCTCTTCGAGGAATGCTAGCAAAAATCTAATAATTACAAGAATATCATAAACTGCTTAAAAAATTTTGATTGAGATTGCACTAAAAAAAAATTGAATTTTAGTTATAAATAATATTTTTATATGACTTTCACAACTGCCAATTGGTTTAAAAATTACTAAAAAGGCTCTCCTAAGTGTGTATTTTATTCATAAACAATATTAGAAAATTTTAGCACTATTATAATTAATTAATTTAAATTTTATATTATTTAATATTTATTTAACAGCGTTTTATTATTATTATTATTATTAAAATTTTTTTGGAATAATTACAAAATAATTGTTAATATCTATTAAATATTTGCTAAATATAAAATATAATTGTTATTCAATAATTGTTAATAAACAAAACAATTAAGAATTTTTTCTATTTGAGTAGCCACTTTCACGACCACCATCCCCCAACTTCTCCTTCATTCTCTGTCGCCTAGCAACTCTCTCCACTTTCAATATCTCACCACCGCCACCGCCCTCTTTCTCCATCCACTCGCCATCGCCGTCACCGCCATTGTCATCCTCCGTCTTCGCATCTTTAACATTGTTCATACGGTCGTTGTTGTCGCCGTCATCAATTTTCAAAGAAACAATCTCAACGCTACGCTTGAGCTTGCGCTTCAGGTGCACCCGCAGTGAATTGACATCCACTGTCCCCTTAACAGTCACCAACTCGCTTTCAGCATCAGCATATATCTCTTTTACCCCTGGGCATAAATGTGATAATGGAAACATTAGGGATAAAATTAGACAATCTAATACAATTAATTTCTGTAATTTGAAAAAAGATTTTATTTTATTTTTTAAACTATATATGTTTTACTGTCAGAAAAAAAAATAATTCATATAAAAAGAAATTATTTATTTGCATTGAAAGAATATATAATTTCTCTCCAATTTTATAAAATATGCATTCAAAGTGAGTAAATAAAATAATGCAAATGAATTTAATAAAAATAAATAAATAAATTACCTTTAACCTTAAGAAGAATCTTCTCCACTCTCTTAATGCAGCCATAGCAGTCCAGACGAGTCTTCAGCACCACCGTTACAGCCCCCTACATAATATCGATATTAAATAATAGTAATAATAAAAAAACAAATGCATTATTCTCTGATTATTCTCTGCAATATCTTCTTTTGATAGGTGCCTAAGTGCAAATAAAAAATAAACTTTTGTATTACAAAGGAACATCTTTTGAGTTTACCTGGTCATTCAACTCATCCGTGGCGGCCGCGGCGGCGGCCGGCCTCTTCCATCCAAACCAGCGAAAGCCGCCGCCGCCGGCGGGCGCGGCAGAGGCGGGGGAGGCCCGCCGCCGCATTA